TCATGAACTGGAATTGTTCTTCTATTGTTCAACCATAAATATATACATACATATTCACACACACACAGAAACATATATATACACAAATGTGTTCTTTTATGTCTCTTATCTTTGACTTACATTTTTGCTTCCAATACTTCCTTTTAATTTTTTTTTCTTTTAGAGGAATGTTTGCCAAACACTAAGCGGTCTGAGGGCAGAGAAGCACACAATGTGTTTCAGTCTGGCTCAGTAGAGCCAAAACTGCAGTAAAAAATCCTTCCTGAACAATCTCTGAAAAATCTTTAAGGAAGTTCTGCTCTCCACCATGAGCATTGCAGCATCCATGCTCAGAACAGCAGGTAGCTTTTCCACCTTTTTTTTCTCTGCAGTCCCTTAGCTTCAGTGCCTAAGTGCTAGTCCTTGATCTCACTTGAAGACAGACCTATTGCTATCCATCTGACAACCTTAATTTCTGTTGAGGCAATATGTATACATATCAAGCAACAAAATTTGTAGGAGTGCATTGCAGTGGAAGGCAGAAATCTTGGGGAAAGCTGGAATCCTGACTGGATCAAAGACATGAGCTTTAGAATCAGGATAACTAGATGTATCAGAAAAAGACTTTTTTTGGTCATTTTAAAGCCTCTAAAATTCAATTACTAGTAATACCTTCCTCTGTCAGAGGTATTTCCCATGTGATTTATTGTAATACTGGCAAAGGTATTTGTCTGTATAATTCATCACTCACTAACATTTTTAAGTTTCAGGTAAATGATGGGATCACATCCCCAGCCTCTGCAGCCTCATAATGTGCCTTGGAACCACAGCAGGTGCTTTTCTTCATGCATGGCCAGTTGTCAGTCGGTGCCTGTACCTTCTCTGTGCAGGAAGGAGAGGCAGGATTCAGTCAGCATGGCCTGGCCAGCAGGACACGTTTTGAGCACAGATGCTGCCCGTGCTCCGCTCACACAGCAGCAGGGATAACCTGTCCCCACTCTGCCTGCTCCTGAGCCTCTGGGCTGTGTGGGTGCTGCAAAACTGCTGGGCCTTCTTTAAATGGTATCTTTGGGCCCCATTTAGAAATGCTTGTGCTGTAATTTATTCCAAATTTTTCCAAGCCTTCTAATAAAATAGCCATCTGTCCCAACACACAGCTCCTTTTAATGTCCTATTTTACACACAGGTTTCACTTCATGGTGTCCTCAAGGTGGGAAGACTTGAGGCACCCATTCAGCATTTTCCTAGGGAGATTCCTGGGGCGCCCTTTGGCTCTCCCCAAGGCGCACAGAGCTTGTCAGCAGCACAGCTGGGATAAACTACAGCCCTCTGCCAGGAGCCTGCTCAGTTCTGACTTTCCCTGGGGAATACTACGGCATTCAGAAGAGCTGCATGGACACATATTTGCCAAGCTGAAGGGAATCCATTTGCTTCTGGAGAGAACCATTTCTCTGGCTGCCCAGATGGCCCCAGCCTCAGCCACTGGCTCTGTCCACGGGCACCCAGTGACACCAGTTCTGGACAGCACCCTTCTGACCTTTCCTTTATCAGCTCCCCAGCCAGTTCATTCTCTGCACTCAGAGTCATTTGGGTGCTCTGCCCGTGACTCTCTGGAGTTGCACGTCGCTCTTGCCTTGTCTTCATGTTCAGCCATCCGTGCTGAATTATCTTCCACTCCTCCCTCTGGGAATAACCAAGGCTTTGACCTAGTGGGACTGTTTGTGTGCTCAAATGTTTTGATGTACCAGACACTGAGCTGCTTGCTCCCAAATCTAAGGTGGCTGGGGATTTCAGGCTCTTTTCAGAAACAGTGTGTGCACTGGGAAGCATAATCTAACTGAAAAAGTCAGCAAAGGGCACTGACTTGTGCATTTTCAAGTATTTTGTCTATCATCTTTAAACCCTTCTGTTTTCTTTAGTTTCTAAATAGCTGTCTTTTCAAGTTTGGGATCTGCTATAGAAGATACACAGCTGTAATTAGAAATATATTTAGATTCATTTCAGAATCCTTGGGGAGAAAGGGATATTCTTTTTTTACTGATATAAGATTGTTATTTCATTTTGAAGGCTGTTCTGAAGAAATTGGGGAAATCAGAAGACCAGGCCCACTTTTCCCCAGGTTTTCCTGAATTCACCTTTGAAACACAACCTAAACAAAATTCTGAGCGCAGTTAATGTTTACACCTTTCTTGCACTGTTAATTTAACTTTCAGCAATATAAAATGGGATAGCAGAAATATTTTTATGTGTTCTTACAATGTCCGAAGTTGTTTGTTACTGTTTTTATTAGAAGGAACTAGACACAATCCTGGCTGCCTTAACCACTGCTTTTGAGAGAGCTACAGCTGAGAAAATCCGCTGCCAGGAAGAAGTGAATAGAACTAACAAGGCTATTGAGCTGGCCAACAGATTAGTGAAAGGTCTGAGGTGAGGTCCTACAGGGCAGGCTAATGAAGCAGCCTACAGAAAGCACTTCTTTGTTATACACTACTGATCTGGCAATAACAGAGGCACTTAGCAAAGAACCTGATGAGCTGAAAAAATTATGTCATTACCATTCATTTTTTTCATAATAGAAACATGGTTTTGACCTTTGCATTTTCTTACATTTTTGCTTCATTGTGGTATATCTTAACTGTAAGATTACCTGGTAACTAACTTATCCACCAACATTAAGGGAAGAAGTCAATTGTGGATATTGACAATGAAGGCAATTTATTAAAATGCGATGACTATATTTGTAACAATTAAACAACACTAATGATTCTGCCCAGGATTTGGATACATAGAATCTAATATAATTTGCACTATTTAGTTAAGCAATATGATAATTCTCTAATTATCTTTCTGAGATTTGCAATGGGTATTTCAGGAGAGAATAAATAATGGCAAAGCCATCAATTATCAAAAATCCATATTGTCTGTTGATCCAGGCTGGCTCAAGGGAATCCATACTCACTGATGGATTTTTTCATTTATCATTCATCTACTGATGAGACTGCTTTTTATACACACACACATACACTTTTTACAGATACTTTATTTTATTGTAACATTCATTTAGGAAATCTCTCATGGTGGCTCACTGCCACTACAGGTTTTGTCCTTTTCTACCCAATACTTTCAAGCTGAGTTTGATAACCAAACATATAGTAAACAACAAAAATAGAAGATCCATTTGTTATTGAGCAAAATTATATGGCTGAGTGTAGCTAGTGGAACTTAAAATATAAAACAAGATTTAAGAGTTATTTCCTGAATCAATAGAAAGGATTTATTGACTAAAGGGGAGGGAGAGCAGTGCAGAAGACCCATTGTTACTGTTTAAAGAAGCAAGATGAATGTATTTAAAATGTTAGCATCCTGGCTGAAAGTGTAATGTATTCTAGTGATTAATAATGCCTGTAAAACTAAACCATGTACCTAATACACAATAATAAAATAAATAACATAGCAGACCTCTTTAAAGTGTGACAATAAATGATTGTTCTAATATTTCCTTCCACCTAACATATCATATTGTTTGGTTCTCCCATGTGCCTCCTGCTGGGCCTGACAAGTGCTGGAATAGCATACATAGAGAGATGAAAGGCAAAGTGTGGGTATGCTGGGGGGGAGGCATAATGAAAAATAATCTAAAGGAGGAAACAGAGATGAAAGGAAAGAAGGAAAGTTGAGTCATGCACTAGATAAAGACAGTAAAATGAGTTTTAATGGAAAGTCCTTCAGCTAGTACCTCCCAAAGCACCAGCCCCATGAAGAAGGTGGCCAGCTCGACAGATTGGTGATGGGAAATAGAATTCATTCCTGTTGTTAGCTGTACCACACTTGGTCAAAGGCATTAATAACCATATGACAGCTATTTAGTGACTTATAGGAAAAAATCCATTTTAATCTCCTCTGTGGTAAACAATAGGTCACTGTTTACTATTAGCAAACAGTTTAATACTGACACTGCTATACTGTCAGTCCTGGCTCTTTCTTTGCCATATTTTTTTGCCGAGAGGACACTCTCTTATTTCTCTAGTTGTATTGTTGTGAGGAGAATTTCTCAAGAAATATAAAAATAAAATTATTCACAGAATGTTTTATAATAAGCAAACATGTAAACATTTCTTTGTTAACTGGTCTTTATAAACCCACCTTTACCATGACAGTAATAGCAAGTAACCAAATATGTGACTTTTCTTCTAATTCTTAGGGAAAGTGTTGACCAAACAGCAGAAAAGCTGATCGTATCTAGCCAGGATCCCAGGGAAAAGCTTGCACCAAGTGTCACATCAAATATCTTATTGGCTTTATGGCATAAAAGATCCTGCCCAGCAGTTATTTATTTTTTTTTCTGCCTTCTTCTCCGAGCCCTGGCATGCAAAGACTGTTCTGGGTGGTTGCATGAGTAGCTGTTACTCTGTACCAAGGAATTCTTTGCTTCTGACAGGTGCCAATTATGCTGTGGACATCTGCCCTGAAGGCATTGAATCAAGCTGACAACTCATTTTATATCAATCAAACAACAACTATTTTCAATAATTTCCCATCCAGCTGGGACTGAATTTGCACAAGTGATCTATGTATTAGAGACATTACCAATCCACAGAGACATTCAGAACCATGATTATGTTCTGTTTTCCCACAGAAACTCTTGCATCTGCACCAGAAAGCAACAGCTTCTTCCACTATGCAAGAGGATGCTGACAACTCAATTTTGGTCACTTGCTGCCAAGCTCAACTTGCAACAGTCGACTCATGTCAGACTGGAAGGAGATTTTTATGCCCAGGCTTGCCATTTGCAAATCCTGTCTGTCGATCCCCTAATCAATGTGGATCTGTGAATCTGCAAGGTAATACTTTAGTATTCACTGCTGTTTAGCCACTGTAATGGGCATTTTTTAACAAACACATAGTAAATGAATGGGAGTTCTAATGCTGTTTTCTCAGAAGAAAAGGAGAGCTGGACTTATCACCAAAGCATTATTAGGAACAAGAGAAAATATGATGCAGAAATGTTCCAGATGGTAACATTTCTCCACTGTGATAGTTTATTTTCGAAAGGTACTGGCATGAGCCCAAATCTCATTCTGCTTTGCACAGATAATACCTTCTTCACAGATATATATTTTTAAAATACATGGTTAATCACAAAAATGCCTGGCACTGATTCAATTCCCTTTTTGACCCATTAAACCGTGATGTTGCTTATACAAATTCCTTCAAATACTTTATTTAATAGAATACCACATTTGGAGGCCAGGAATTAGTAAAATGTTCTTCTGGAACGGACCAAAACATTCCCTTTGATAGTGTTTGAAGTACTTTTTGCTATCTGACGGGAGCTAGAGGTGACAACTAACCCACAGACCTCGGGAACATGGTTAGCCAGCCAGAGCAGTAGGCAGGTTCACCTTCTTCTTGTATTCTTTCAAGTGCTGTGCCTTGCTGTTTGCATAAGGGACCAGCTTTTATTATTCTACTCTGTCCCTGCTACTGTGCACCAGGGCAGCACAAAGCAAGATTTAGTGCTTGGATATGGTATTTGCTTGATAGCAATTGTTATAGTTAAGGCTGTGCTGAGACTTCTGTCTTAACCTGCTATTCTCCCATGCTCAGAATATTCTTCTTTTTTCAAAAAAATCCCTTTCATCTGAAACTTTTCATGCTTGTTATCAGCTGAAATATATATTTTTTTTTTTTGGCAAGGCTGAATAAAATTCATTCATTCATATTTGAATTATGCAAGGAAAGTGGGTGTAAGGAGAAAGGTCTCTTTTTTGCACATTCATAATTCACAAAAAAAGCTGCATATTACAAGCTGAAACTTTCCAGGTGGCTAGTTTTGACTGAAGGGTAGTCTTCATGCTAATTACAAAGAGAGAATGACTGAAAGAAAAATGAAAGAGAAAAATTAAAAATGACACATATTGTGATTAACTCATTTGTTTTGTAGGTGTGCCATACAAAAATTACATTGTGAGCCACTTAGAGCAAGTTTAAAGTAACAATTTCATTTAAGTTAAGATGAACTACCATAATTACATAATATCAATGTTTTGTGCTGCAATTTCACTAAGAATCTCCCTACAGAAGCTGCAGAAGCTTTTACTTATGCAAATGTGGAAGCTCACAGTGAAATCAGTGCAGAATCTTATGAATCATTAACTTTGGCCAGAAAGCCAGTCTGGGGAAGGGGGGAATGGTGTGCAGTGGCAGCAACTGTCCCTATGCTCTGGGTCTCCCTGAACGCTGGACTGCTGAGGAAAATAACTTGGGGGTCTTGCAGTTTCTTCCAGCTTAATACACTGACTGTCAGGGACAGCAAACCACTAAATCTTTGTTATTCTCTTTTCCTTGCTATATTCCCATGTACTTGTGGACATAACAGGCAGCACATAATCTGACCAGCAATGTGTGACTGACCCTCCATGATAACAAAGGATTACTTCAGCAGAAGATACCTGGACAGCAGAAGCTGGAAGTGTTAGAACAGTCTCCCTTAACTCATGGAAAAAAGGTACTGTGATATGCAGCTCCAATTTCTCATAAAACACCTGGAGATAAAGCACAAGTATATAAATAAAGCAATATAACTGTAATTTTAAACATCTGAAAGAATAACTGGCAATGGTTCCCACAGTACTTGCTGACTTTGCTCCATAAGGAGCAAAGATGAGTTCAGAACTTCCCCACTACTAAGTTCCCAGTAACCTCCTGGAGGCCAAAGAAGGACTGTTGGGTTCAAAGCAGGAATCCCCATCGTTTTTTATCTGTTGAATTTTGGGTGAAGTGAGGAAAAATACATTTTTCCCAGTGATGCTGCTTTTTTTTTTTTTTTTACGAAAAGACAAATGAGCAAATTCTGAGACATACCAGCTTCTGTAAGTAGAAATTTAAAACTTAACCTTTATTATTCCAGGTAACAAAAGGTCTTGATCCAGTCAGTGAGTGGTGGATGCTACAACAGTTGCTAAATAGAAAAGTGACAGCAGTGCCTGGCAATAATATGGCCACATTAAAAGTCCTTGGTCTTATGTTTACAGTCATCATTGCCATAAGATCAAGCCTCAGCACTGGGGAAAAACTAGGCAAGAGTCACATCTGTTTCAATATATAAATTATCTATTTGAATCAAAAAGGGACAAGTGCTAGTGAGAGTAAAACTGATGCAGAGTTATGAAGGAAACATGGCAACTCTCTTTCTTCTGAATGCCTGATATTGCCCAAGGTGTTAATGCCCCAGTAACCATAACAACTCTGCTCAAGGTCTTTCCTTCTTTCCATTCATTGTAGTATAATGAATGGGATACTGTATACTGGCATTGTATCTCTTGTTTTTCACCAGCCCTGTACTGGGATGACTCTATAGGTGTGTGTCATACTGCAGGTATTTCTTCCTGGTGGTCCTGTTCTGGCAGAAACTTGGAAGAAATTATTAATCTTGTAGTTAACCCAGTACTTGCAAGTTATGTTCAGAGTATTTTTAATAGTCTGTTATTTTCTTCATCAGGTCTCTCTCTGATTATGTTCTAGAAGTATTCAAAGTAGCTTCCTGCACCTGTATGATAGTTACATTAACTCACAAGGTTTGCAGTGCCCAAAACACTTTGACTCCAGCTGGATTTTTACTTGTCTATTTTTCTTATCTTATTTGCACCCTTGCATGAACTACAGTTCAATGACTGCAATTTGAGTACTCCTTCCTATCTAGCTGAACAATCTTCCCCAACACACCACCATCCTGATGTGTAATCACTCAAGAGACATAATCATTCACTTAGAACTAAAATAATTCTCCTACCATTTGCTCCTTGCCTCCATTCTGCCCTTTTTCTCTGATTTATTGCACTATATTCCTTATGGAAATATTTTGACATCCATCCCCTCTATTCAAGTCTCATACCCACCCTTGGAGGGAGTGCTTTGAACAGAGGAAGGCCAGGATGAGTGTGTATCTCATATCCTCACCCTTTTATTCCAGTGTCATTTCCCCCACCTCCTCATTATATTCTTGAGTCCTTCCCCTCCTTCTAGTTTAGCTGTACCTACTATCTTTCCTAGAGCTGAGTCCTCCCTTCCCTCCCCTGCCCCTCTAGCAAATGTCAGAAAATATTTCCTCACATCCTCTGAATATAGGGATCCTGAACCCCAGCCTTGTCTAAGCTCTCTAAATCACTTGACCCCAAAAAGGTTGCCACAGGACAGCACTTGCCTACAGTGCAGGCTGGAGAGAAAGTGCTGTTAAGGCACTGAATTCCTTCAGCTCTGAGATCTGCAGCTTTTTTAGACTGCAAGAAAGAATTTACTGAGCCAGAGCACTGAATTTGTTACTTGTTAAGCTTAGTCAAAATTACTATGAAATTCCTTAATTAAACAGCTCAAGCTGAGAAGCAAAATGCTTTCTAATCCAGTCACCACAGTGCTTCACTCAGTCCTGTACCTCTGCCTCTTCTTTCTTGCTGCCCTCATGTTGTCATGTTACCTCATGTGCTGCCTGTTGGTTTGGCTTCCTACGAGTGTCCCCTGACCCCCCCTCCACTGCACTGACAAGCAGAAAGCTCTTTGTGCCCAGTATTGACCTGATGGTGTGCACTAGCCCAGCCTGGAAGTGCATCTTGAATTTCTTGCTCCCCCGGGAGCATTTGATTAAAGGAGGATTTTCATGGTGTGTTGAGATTCAGAACGTGGTGCTATTCAGTAGCTGCTGGTGGCAGCTCTGAGCTGGAACACACACTGGGGCTCTTTTCCTTCTGTGGTGATAAACTGAGTCCTGGGACACGGAATTCTGCATGATTTACCCTCAGTGTGCAGAAGAGCACAAACAAGGCTGTGCTCACACTTGCTGCCAGGCTGCTGTTCCTGCACTCGGGGACACAGGTTTTACCAGATTTTCAGTGATTCTCCAAGGAAGGCTTCCACACCTGCTCTCTAAGGTGTCTCTTACAGCTAAAAAACTTGAATCAGCTTCACTGTTATTCGAGATGTGTGAGGTCAGTTTGGAAACTGAGGACATTTCATGAGTGTATGCACACCTGCAGAGCCCCAGAGCACCTGCAAATGCAGGAGACCTCACAGCACAGAGTGCCTTTTGCAGGCCTCAATAGGCTCAGCCTAATTCACAAACATACACATGTGCTCCTCACAGTGCTCACAGGAATACACAGTCTAAATTAATTTCTCCTATTATAAATCTTGAAAAACTTCTCTGTAGCCCAAGAGATGGCTCTGGAGTCATAACACAGATGTGTACCGTTGTAAAGAATACAATGCATAATTTTGTTTTCTTCTTTTTTTCCTAGTGACTGAAGTTTTAATTAATAAAATCTATGCTTACAATGAAGTAGGAAAACAGAATATTTAAATGAATGTATGTATCTACTTTATTTCCTATGGTTTAATTTGTGGATTTGCAAACTTACCACTTCAGCCAGAACTCATAAAGCAGAAAAATTACTTTAAAGTTGACAGTGCATTAGGTTGGATTATGGATACTTTTTTTGGCTTCTGACAATAATTTGGTATGGGATATTTATTCTTCTGGCTGAGAAGCTGTAAACAAGACAAAGCAGCAAAAGTACAAGCAAAGAAAAACAACTTAAAGAATCAGATCAGCTGTAATATTAATCATTTTGAGGCTGAATTTGGCTCCTTTTGGTCTAAACCAAACTAACTATATTTATTTCATAATCTTTATTTTTCAATTCATTTATCCATGGTAAATATATCCATGTGCATGTTTTCCCTCCAAGAATCACTGCATTTCCATCCTGAGGAAAATATTGTTTTTTAATTACCACAAAACTCTTTAATTTATTTAAAGTCTGCAAGAGGGGAATTCTAGTGCTCCATTTTACATATCATATAAAAGAAGCTTTCCCTGGTACATTTTTCCACAACTCCTTATGCTGCTAACTTGTTGAAAATTGTGTCACTGTTTATATTATTAACTGGAGCCCAGGACTACAAGGAGCTGCTGAAGCACTGACACAAGAGAACAGCTAGAACACAGGTACTGCAGTGAATTAGTGAGCAGGATGCTCAGACACTCATTTCCAGCTTGGAGTGGCCACAGCTGACTGCAGTGACATCTGGCTACTGGATGTGCACCTCTCCATGAGAAAGTTGTGGATACTGAAAAGTATTTTCCAGACCTGCAGGATGCATGCTGCTCCTTTTTGCTGTGCTCATGCACATGACTGTGTATCTTGTGAAAGCAGTCACTGGACACACAAACCAGGAAATGGATGTCAAAAGTCATTGTATTATTAAACAGACTCATATCTAATTTAATTAAGAGATAAATATACCCTTACAAGTAAGCAAATGTCATCAGGGGATATCAGTTATACTTGTGTATCTTTCCAGTCATCAGAGTGTTTTAAAAACCTTCCCATTTATGGACAGTATGTTTCTCTGAAATAGGAAAACAAGGTTTTTTCAGGCGATGCATGAAACAAGAGTTCAAAGGACTTGACTGAAGAGTATCAGCAAGTAAACTAAAAATGTATCCTATCTATAAAATCCTTATGGGAATATGTCATAAGGGTAGTGTTTTTGCAGTTGGGTTGCAGGAATTTAGTGGGCAAGGAGGTGAAAATTATAACCAAGACAACTGGCTCTTGTAGCTTCATGCTTGCTTTGCAGTCTGCATAAAAAATTTGGAAATTATCTTGGAGCTTTGCATAGTTATCAGTTCTGAGCTGTCCTAGTGACTGAAAGTAAGATGTTTCAAAGAAATGATGTTTCAAAGTCAATGATGATCCAGGTGTTTATAGCATGCGTTTGCCTTCTCATGGTGTTATCATCACACAGGCTAAATTTAGACAACCTCAGACATTACAAAAGTCAGTGTTTGCACTGCAATTATAAAATTTCTTACTTCTAAAATCTAAAGATTGCCAAACAACTATTTCAGAAAGCAAACAATAGAATATTTAGAAGAAGGAAGCAAATATTTTGTTAAAATAATTTTTGGGAAAAGCCTTCAAGGATTTTGAAAAAGACACAGTCCTTCTTTCTGACCATGTGGAGCATAAAGAGTCATCTACCAAGTTCTACTGTCCCTGCATTTGGACAATAAACTGTGGGAACTTACAAAATTCTAGGAAAGGAGATTCCCTTTACTTTGAAAATCTGTAGATTTGAGACATATTTTTCTATAGCACTTTGTGATATCATGTATCACAGTACTTTGTGCCATCACTTACATAGGTGAAGTAAAGACTGGCAGCAATCTGACAGCTCACTTTGAACTGAACAACCACATGAGATGCTGACACAGAAAATCACCCTTTGATTTCTCAAGAGTTAAATTGCATCTTCAAACCATGTCAAGTTCCATTTGGAGTAAGCTCTGGTGTCTTTCTAGTGCATTTCTGCCACTGGTTTTCTTTCATTTTTTTATTTCTTCAGATATGAAATGTCTGCATCCTAGCTGCTAATGAAAGAAGAGCATAATTCTGAAATGCTTTGTCACTTTTATACTTTTTTACTGATGCTGGGAAGAAGTGACAGAATCCTGTAGTTAACATGATTCAAAAGACAAGGGGGAGGAGAAGGTGGAGAAAGATTATAGAAAATATATTTATATTGCTTCAACAACTGGATTGTTTTCAGTATAGTGTCACGCTCTCAGTGAGGGGGAATTCTGCATGTGTCATGATTCTACAGATGTTCCTGCACACTACATGCAGCTGCACTATTTGTCATGGGCAAATTTAATAGCAAGATGTTTGTTATGTGTTCCCTCTAATCTTAGTTCACAAAAACATGGAGGGGAAAAAACCCACTACCTTATAGCTTACTTGCTTCCCTTCTTTATATAGCGTTTTAAAACACTATATAACAAATATTGGGAACACCCATCTTTTGTACTAAATTCTGTAACACCTGCAATTACAGCTCTATTACCTTTGCTAGAATCATCTTGTTCTTTCTAATGTTTATAATGCTAATTAAGTTATTTTAAGTACCTGGAGAGGTCATATTTCTAACAGTGGGGGTTCTTCAAGAGCTTGATCCTTCAAAAGGGAAAATAATTCCTGCTAAGTCCTGAACATGCTCTGTTCTGAGTGCCTTGCAGGTGAAACTCAGACGCACTCCATATAGCAGCAGAGCCAAGTGCTGTCAGAAATTTTACAGTCAAACTCAGAGGAGCTTTCCTACTCTTATCATTCTAAAATCCTGGATCCTTTCATCTAGGTGTTCTCTGTCCTAAACTTCACTGGTCTGCGGGCAGTGTGTTGGAGGGAACCACACCCTTGGGTTCCATCTTCATGCAGAGATATCCAGGAAGTAGAATAAGATTTTGCAAATAGAAAAGAGAAGACAGAAAGAAATAAAGGGTTGGGGGGGATGGGGGGGATGTTTTTACCTGGACAGCCTGTAATATGCTGAAACATGTGTTGACTAGTTAGTGGCAAGGGATTTAACTAAAGAACTGGCAGTGCAAGGAGAAATTTGGATTTCAGAGAACAAAATTGACAGCTGAAGTAGAAGCCCATCCAACTACACCAAACAGGACAAAACTCAAAAAGAAGGTACAGCTGTAGAAGATGTTAAGAGTGTTACCCTATCAGTAAGTGTATGAACAGAAAATAGATGCTATAAATGAAAAATTGAAATTTAATTACTGCATCTCCTACAGTACAAGAAAGATATTAAGTTACTCCAGTGGAAGCTATAGCAGGAAACCTGTGAAGGAGAGGCTGAGGGCACGGTGGTTCTTCAGTTTTGAAAAGGCCAAGAGAGCAGGGTGATCTACTGCTGTCTGCAAATACTTCACAAGAGGCTACAAAGAAGACAGAGACAGGCTTAGATGTGCACATGGACAGAAAAGAGGCAACCTGCAGAAGTCAGACCAAGAGAAATTCTGACCAGGGATTAGGGAAAATCATTTACCATGAGGGTGGTGAAACATTGGCAGAGGATCCCCAGAAGGCTGTGACTCCCTCATCTCCAGATGACAAGGTCTGTATGTCCTCTTTTGGAGAGTAATCACATTTAAAAGATCACCTAGACATTAATATCTGTTCTTGTAACATTAAAATATATATATATAGTTACAAGTACAGCTAAAACTCCGAGTTCTTTTAAAACATAAAAGAAAAGATAGATCAACAGAGTATTTTTTTTGCCATCGAAAACTCACATTTTCAAAATAAATGTACCATTTATGTACAATTGTATGGGAGGTATTTTAAAGCTTCTTATTTTGTACACGAAAACTGCATATATGTAAAATACACAGTCATGTATCAAATTGATGGAAAAGTTCTTGTTTGTAGGAAACTGATCAGGATAATTTTGGAAATGTATAACAAGTGCTTCTGTTACTAAAGGTGTATATCTGTGAACACAGTCTGCCAAAGAAAATGGAATATTGAGTCTTTTCAGAAGAATGCTGACAAATAGCATTGAAATATTTAATGCAGATGTGAAGATATTAGTTTCCAGTCTTCAGTTGATTACTTAGCTCAAAAGGTAAATAGGTGTGACTATGACATCTTTCATTCTGTTTCTAATAAATCTCAAATCATATATATGAGATCTAGTTGTGTTTGTGTAGAGATCCAACTTCAGAAATTGTTTTGAACTACCTCATGTAAAACCTGCTTGCAAGTGCCTGTCTGTGTGTCTGTATGTCTGATGTGTCTTAGATTCAAGTATGTTTCTTAATTATCCTAAACCTTTATCAGGTTACACTATGGTCTCCTGCAGCTACAAGAATTTTTAACTTAGCACTACAAACTATAGCTCTCACTTTAATAATCACAGTATTCCTGCTGATTGGGAAAATTATATTGGCAATGAAAATCAAATACTTTTTGTTAGCTGGCCTCCTGATGGCAATGAAGAATTACAAGTCAATCAGACTTTGAATTACTCTAATTCAAGAGAAGTTAGGGAAGTGTGAATGTTTCCAAGATTTGCTGCTCAGTCATGACTCTGCAGTCATAGCAGGATTTGCAAATCCTTGCTCTGCATTTCACAGACTATTCAAAGTGACTTTATAGCCCAATAAATATGATTTTACCATTATTGGTAAAAAGCAACAGTATTTGTATTGAGGTGACAGTGTAGGGACTCGGCAATGCTCTGGCTTTTTCTGGGCCTGGATAGATTTTAACTTGGTTTGGCTGTGATAGCAATTGTCCAGCTGTGAGGTACTCTTTACTAGATTTGTTTTAGTTTAACAGTACATTTTTGCCAAACAGAAACCTTAGAGTGTAATAGCACATCATAACATCACCAACATCTTTAAGAACCTGGAAGCTGAAACAAGCACTATAAAGATCCCTGAAGCTCACAAGTACTTTTGGCCAGTTGCAGTCAATGCTGCTGTGCTCTATTTTCTCATGGACAAGCTGAATAAAATCAGTCTGCTGAATTAGCTCTCACTCAAGGTTACCACTCAGGAAGAGGTTAGTTTGTTCGCAAGCTGCTGTTTTAATCTAGTGCTACCACTGGCTTACCACTTTCCCTCTGGTCACAGGCTTTTACTGCTGATTTCACAAGGCAGTGCAGTGAGCAAAACCCTCTGAGAACATGAGGCTGAGTGTAAAGAACCCAACTGCCTGTGCAACACTCTCAACTGTCATTTACCTTGGTCTGTTTGAAAGGGTAAAGCTTATTTTCACAGCCCAGTTAGCTCTCCCAGTACAGCACAAACCCTGCACGAGCTCCCATTTACCACTCTGTGTATGTACACCTGTATGTGTGCCCAAGCAGCCCACAGAGCAGTCCTTTGCCTTCAGGTTTTCAGGTTTCCCTTGCATGCCTTTCCAACTCAGCACAGCACAAGGGAATGTGGACAAGTTTGTGTAGTTCTGATTTGGTCTCCTTGCTGTAGCTTGAGCTGTTCATGCTGCCAGCTGGCTCTGCTAGGCCCCTGGAAAACTCCCTCATCAGGGAAGAACATCAGTCTGAAATGCTTCCTACAAACTGCATTTGCTCTGAACCAGTCTAGGCTTCTTTCTTGTTAAGGATAGAAAAGTACAATGGTTTCACAAATATTATTGTGGCTGGGGGGCACCTCTGTAGGGACAGCCAATTTTCTCACTCTCTACTTTCCATCTTCATCTCAAACACTGGGAAATGCATCAACTTCCAAATTAGGTCTTCATGTTCCGAGTGCTGCTGCCACATGTATATATTCCCCCTAGAATGAGCTGAATGGAAAGAGTGTTGTATAATGATCTCTCATTTAGCTTAAAGTGTCATCTTTTCCTTCACTGCATTTTGTCTGTGAGAAGTATGCTGAGTCTTGTGCAGCTGCGTTCTCGCTCTTATTCGGCACAGATCTTTTACAAGCTTTGCACCCATACCAAGAGTTTCCTTCTTCCCTTTGAAAAGAGTGTCAAATGGGTACAGAGCAGAGGAGCCCAAAGCCTACATGGATATGAACAGGGACTAGGATGAAAATATTAACCTGATAGAAGAGATTTCTTTGGTTTCTAGTGCATGTGTTCTGAGCTGGAAAATAAAATTCCAAGTGGAGAAGAGAAAGAGAAGACAAATTCAGATTCAGATGCTGACCCTACTTGTTTTCAGAGCACTGAATATCTACTATACTGAAACATAAATCAGCCAACCAGTGAATTTTTGCTCAGTATCCTCAAGGTTATCTGGAAGTCAGCTACAAGCATCTTGCACAAGGACATGTGCAATGACTGACTTCAGCAAGGTGACAAAGACCTGCTCTGGTCAAGGCTGGGATGCTCAGAATGCTCACCACCATGCATGGCAGGGCCCTGCCTTTCTCTCTGAGTTGTGTAAGCAAGTTACAGTTCTGCTCAGAAAAAACACACTCTATTATTATTTAAAAATTAACTGGTGTTAAACCAATTGCCATTGTCAGGCATGCTAACCTTTAGAGCACATTTAGCTTTAAATCATGGATATCTATAGGGAGTTCCCTTGGATCATTTGATCAAATTATGCTCTTAAAAGTACACTTCAAAAATGTCATCCCCATGTAGGAGGAAAAGAAAGAAAATAAGGCAATGAAATTAATGGAAATTTGGAGAAATGAAATGTTGTCTCATGTATTTTGACAATGTAGGCATCAGTAGGTTTGCCAGACAGATCAGCTTCAGATTTGACTTGAGCAAATTAAGCTAGTCTAAAGCACAAGCTACTTGCTAATAATTTTCTTGGCTTTTTCCTCTTGAACCATTTTACATGTTTATTTACATTATAACAGCATTGGCCATGCATCTCCCACATTTGAGGTCATTCCCCAGCCTTCCAGAAGAATGCTGGCATCTGACAGTGCAGCCAATTTGTGGTCATAGAAGTGTTTTAAGTAACAAGGTGTACAGGCAGCAAGAGCAAAGGGGGAAAAATGTGAAGTTGAAGAAATGAGAGACTGCTAAAATAATCAAGTATAGACAGCAAGAGGAAAGATCAGTGAAATACCTGAAGGGCTCTAACAGAGAAATCCCACTGCACCAATTGTTTAATCGTTGCCCTGCTTTGCAAACAGCACACTGTAGACACCCTTCCTTCGCAGCGATCTGCTGCTGCACCCCATTTCTTTCAACAGTAAGATATCAGGCAAAACTGGGCATAGCTTTGGGATCCATAATAATACCAAAAAAGAGAGAAATTATACCCAAGAAAAAGTGATGCTAATGAAAAACAATTGCTCACCATCACCAAAACAATGCCCAGTCAGTCCTTGAGCTGCAGTCCCCAGCTGACTTCCATCTCTAGTTTATACAGAGAGCATGATGCCATGTGGCAGGGAATATCTCCTCTGGTCACTTGGGGTCAACTGCCCCAGCTGTTGTCTTCTCAACTTTTTGTGCACCCTCAGCCTCATCACGGTTGGAACAGTGTGAGGAGCAGAAAAGGCCTTGACTCTTGTGTGAGCACTGCTCAGCAGTAATTAAAACATCTCTGAATTATCAACACTCTTTCCAGCACAAATCCAGAACACAGCCCCATACCAGCTGCTATGAAGAAAATTAACCCAGAAAATCTACCCCAGTCAAAACTAGCGCAATCTTAAACTGCGTGTGCTGGGCTGGAAGGTTTTTGATGGTGTTGGGATTTTTATTTGTGAATGTGACAAATTTGACTGAAGCCTAAGAAACATTTTTACAGATTGCTTTAAAACAGTCTTATACTTTAATACTGTCTACCCTCACACAACATGCTATGATTTGATTTTCCATTATTATGACGATGTATGACAACACCAAATAATAAAGACTGTAGTGAGTTTGGATTGGAGAATATAAACATCACTCTCTTGTATGATTTTCCTAAATCTCTTTCTGAACTAAGCACCTAAATATCCCCAGTCTGGTCATAATCCACACCTTGACCATATGGTCCTTTACAAGAAAACAAAATAATTCTAGGCAAATAAGACACTTGCCCATAACCATTTCATCTGCTAGATCTTTGGAGGTACAAACAAAACACTGGATGGGAAGATCTGCTAATGCTGATAGTGCTTTAGATCACTTGATAATCTTTTTCCTCTGCTAGTTGTTACTGAATGGAAATCAAATGTATGCATGTTAGGACTAGTAACAGATGGCACTTCTGTTCTGTGAGGAAGAAATAGGGGCAAAGGGGCAGCAAAGTTGAACCTCCCCCCTTTCCTGCCTTACCAGAATTCATTGTGTTGCCCTCCTGTTACAGTTTGCTGTGACTCTTTCTTGTTATAAAGAGATGTCAGAAGTTAGAGAGAGACAGACGATAACCTTAAATCCTTTACTGCATTTTACCAGGATTCTGAAAAATAAAAAATAAAAAAATAAAAGCCAGCTGAGGGAGTTGGAAAATGTCAGTGAGGCATTACACAAAGAACTTGATACATTTGTTGACCTTTCTTCTAACTCCACCCTTCTCCTCTAAGATGTATTTAGTAGTAGTGAGTGCTTAGTGCTGTAAGTGCTTTCTTAAAAATAATTTAGATGCTATTGGCTGTCTGCCTGCACTGGAAAACATAGCTGTTTCAATGAGCCCCTGCTGAAACTGAAGAAAAGGGGTTTATTGAAATGCCTCCAAAAATGCACCAAAATTTCATTTTTTCCCTTGTCTGTTGAAACCCATCTTGTTCTTGCTTTTACAGTCTTTTGTTTTATTTTTTTAATTGTACCATTGTATTCAGGGTCTTTTCATTCTTCTCCGCTATTTTACGAATGGCGTGTGTGGTATTAAGAGCTGAAGGCAGAGATGAGAGGAGAAGTGTTTTGAATTGACTAATTTGCAAGCAAGAAATAAAGCTCTTGTAAGGTGGTCCCAGGGGTATCTTTGCCACGAACACTATTTGAAATGACATGTAATCTGGTACATTTCAAAGGCAAAACACTTCCTATTCTAAAGTATCTTCCTGAGCCAGGGTTGGTTTACCTGTTTCCAGAGAATAATAAACTCCACCGAGGCCAAGGAATCTCCTTCTCTCCCCTCTCAAAATTCCTGTTCTTTTTCAAAGGGACAATTGCAGCCAACAGTTTATTTCTGTCCTATCTTTTGCTGCTCTAATGGCTCAGTGCTCACTACTAATACATAGCTGAATGCACCTCTGGATTAAATGCCAAGTAACAGAACCCAGCACATCCTTGTAGAACACAATAAATAATGGTGTGGAGCTCTCGTTGTTTTTCTCAACAGTGGAAAATTTAGGTCTGGTTCTTACAGACTTTTAAAATTTTAAGCATTTCACCATATAACTTTGATCTGGCAATTTCTTAATAGAAATTGTTCCTCTTCTAGAGAAATCTGAGTTCACCTGACCTTGGAATGTTGTATTGTACTCTTTCCCAGCACAATTCAGTGTTTCTAGCCTTGCTGACACACTAAAAGTCTTACACACAAAAGTCCACATTAATTTGTTAAGGCAGAAATTTCAGAAAAAAATGTATTTATGTTTAGAATTTTGTCCATACTTTGTTGACGGCTTAGTTGGTCTTATAAACTGACACACTTAATCATCATCTGTGAACATATTCATATACTCTAAGGAATGTTTCTAGATGTGTATGATTTAAGCTTACAATATTCAAACGCTGTTATCGCATAGTTTGAAAAGATTGTTAAATGTTTTAAATGAGGAAACTGGACACAAATAAACCCCAAAGCTTTGAGAAAATAAACACTGATAAATATTACAAATAAATTCTATTAATGTCACAGCTGTTCTGTTCTAAAGCTCTTAGTTACCGAATAACAAACTCATGTGAACACTCTGAACTTAGATCAGTATTTCAATAATTATCTGACTTTCTCCTTAAACCTCCATGAAGAGAAATGAGGGTTAAGTGTGTCTACAATAATGACCCTACATTTTAATATTTTTTAATTTATATTATATTTATTTTTAAAAATAAAAAAAACTTCAGTTACATTGATTTTAAAAATCCACATGCTTGTGCTCAAATGTACTGGCTCTACATGTTATTTTTTCAATTGTGGACAATGTTAAATAAATTACATTACTTGAAGAGAGATACTGAAGGTTCCTGGATAGAACAAGCAACATAAATGGATTTGAAATGTCCAGAAAGGAGAAATTTCTGAAGGCATGAAAAGTGAGAAGTTCTCTCCTCAAATGTAAGGTAGCAGAATGTCTAGGATGACTTGTGCTGTCAGTTTGCATCACCAGTCTCAGCCCTTTGAAGGGCAGATTTTGTACTGTGAGTGACCCCAATGTGTGCTGCATTTGGATCTCTACCAAATAGAAGACATGAGAAAATATTATGCCCCACCGACAGGTCTTAGACCTTGATGTTTTTCATGAGGTTCTGTCAACTGTAATTCTTAATTTATGGGAACTTAGCCCAAATGTAAATTGGAACTAAATGTGTCCAGTGTTCACAAAAACTTCCAAAGAAGGCAGGGCTATTCCCCAGTAGTGACTGGTCCCTTTATAGATTCTGAACTATTAGATCAGTCTGGACTAAATACTATTACTAAAAATAATGAGAAAACATAACACCATGAAATAAAATAACTTTCTGCCAGTTAAGTTAGCAATACTACTGGTCCTAGAAATTCTACCACAACCGGAGAAATAAACCAGACCTTTCCATGACTGCTGAGTGCTGTCCCATGTTAACACACCGATGGCATTACACACCCAGCACTCAGTGTCTGAGGAAAAGTTTCAGTGCTTGGCTCAGGCAGCTGCCTGGGGAACACTTGCTGCTTTCTGAAATCAGAGGTAGCTGCTTGTTCTTCTGTGTTTGCACAAGTCATCAACCTTGCATATATACATATACATATATATGTATATATATACATATATACATATATATATACATATACATATATATATATACATATATATATATATATATAACACACTATACTTGAGCAACAGATTTGCCCCTACTGAAAATTTGCTAACCCTCCTCTGAACCAACTACTTCCTAATGCCAGCATAAAGACTTCTGTTAAACCCCTTTCATTGCCTGTGTGTAATGTCACCTTCAGTGAGACATTAATTTATATTTTTTTCTTTAGATAAATTTCTAACATATCCACTTCAGTAAGCATTGAAATATTCATACAGGCAATATGTAGGGAAGCCATCAGCAGGAATCAATTGTTTCACTCTGGGATGCTTTTCAGACACAGAAGCATTTTACTAATACAGAATACCTAGCCAGAAAGCAGCACAATATCCTAGCTCAGCTGATTGATTGAAACTACATTTTTGAGGGGTTTTTTTCCCTCTGGTGACTCATGTGATGTGGTGCAATTTTAACACTATGTGTAGAACACATGCTTGTTTGAACACTTCATTATTTGGCTCAAAGTAGTACAGTATATTGTTCTGTTTAGGGAACAAGTTTAAATTTACCATTGACTCAGGAGAACTTCACAATGTATCGCTGGGTCAAGGACAGGAAGCTGCAGCAGAAATAGCTGTGGAAAAGGCATCAAAAGAAGGCCACTGGGTTATACTTCAAGTAAGTCAAAGCTCTTCATTACATCAGTGCTGCACTGCGGTGTTAAAAACTGAAGCATTTCAAAATAACATGTGCCTAGATGAAAGAGTACTAAATAGTGATTTAAAACTTCCTTTGTCTTTGCCACAAGGGAAGCACATAACTTCATCTCTGTATGTACTGAATAGCACATAAAATATGAATTGCATCTATCTTGCATGTAGGGAGTCAACTAACATATTTTCCCAAGCACGATATCTGATTTACTAATTTATTATCCATTAAAAAAAATCCTTTAGTAAATAAATGTGTAGCAAAAAGAATTGTTATGCTGTATAATCAGATGAATAGATACAAACAGGGAAGATTGCTGTCATTATGCAGTGTATTGTGCTAAACAGATGCACACATTTTTTTTCAAATATTGTGCAATATCAAACTGCTTCCTTATGTCTGGGTTTTTCTTGTATCAATAAAATGTTTGAAATTTCAAATCAATAGCTCACTGGGAGGCCTATTTTTTCCTCCCTTCTCCCCCCTCTCCCTCCTTATCTCTGAATATTTATTTTGTAGTAAAGTGGTTGGACACATTAGAGAAATTACTGAAGAAAATCAGGGAAGGAAGTCAGCGAGGCGATTGGTTTTGAGTGTGGGGAACCTGTTCCTTTCCCTAAAATACATCTCATTCCAGAGTGGATTTAGGAAACCTCCCATTAAAATAACTGATAAGCCACTACCTGTAACATGATCATCATGCTGCACTGGATAAATTTGACCAGGCAAGCAAGCCACCACAGAAATAAAACTTTAAAAATGTGAGTATTAAACTTCTCATTTTAAAGCCACTTGAAACAGTGAAGTCACTAAAAGCCTTTACAGGATATGCAACAGCAAAGCAGAATTAATTTCTTAAAGATTTGTTCATGTATGTGACCACACATCTGTCACCAAAAAAGAAAAAAAAAAAAAATCAAACAAGAAACTACTTTCAATTTGAAAGCGTCACACACAGTTTCTAGCTAAGTACCTGTCTGTGTGCATGGGAAATGAAGAATTTGCAGTCACTACAGGTAATTACTGTAGTACAGAACAAGAATTTATTTTGGTTTCATCTAGCTTAGTTTGGTTTATCTTGAGATGCACAACCATGTGGTTTTATGTCTCTGGAGTATCTTTTACATATTCTGAGCATGCAGCTCACTGGAATTAGGTCTTCAGCTGAGGTAAGTTAGTGAGGTTCACTACACAAATTTATATTCCTATGGGTTTGGTCGAAAATATTTGGACATACATTAGAGGGAAGCATGGCTCAGCTGCAAGGTTATCATATTTTCATCTGTCCTTTTTAATTTTTGTTTTGGAAGGCTTTTAATGAAAACAATTTTTCTTACTGAGTCTTAAAAGATACTTACAAACACAGGTGTGTATAGGTAGTAGTTGTAGGCTATGATCACAGATATGGTCAAAGAAATCTAGTATCTCTTTAGAACATAAATCTGTACTAAAGAAAGAGCATCCACCTGAATGCTAAAAACTCAGCAATTACAAAACAAAAACAAACAAAAAATCACACAAATTGCTTTTTCGGTACTATATTCTAAAGAACATCGTGAAAATTACGAGGCTTTTTTTCATTTTCTCTTGAATAGAATAACCTCTTCCAGCAATAAAAAAGGGAGAAATCGCCAGCCACCCGCGCGGCGAAGGGAATGTCACCCAAAGTGCTGACGGGCGCACAAAGAAACCCGCGGCCGCAATCACGGCCGCAGCGCGGTCGGCACCAACTTCTGCCGGCGGCCGCGGCCCCGGCGGCCCGGCCGCTCCCCCCGCGCGGCGCCGCCTTCCCGCGCCCGCCCAGCTGCGCTCGGGTGCCGGGCAGGGCCGGGCTGCACCTCCCGGGCCGTCCCCCCGGGCCGGCGGCTGTGCCGGGGAGGTCGTCACCTGCTCGCAGCCGTGCGCCAGCCCGGCCCCGCGGCACCTGCCGGGCGCCCGGGGCAGCCGCCCGTGCCCGGCCCGGCCCTGCCCCGGCGCGGCCCGCGGGGCGGCCGGGCCGGGCCGGGCCGCGGCAGCGCGTTCCCGGAGCCAGAGCGCCCCCTGCCGCCCGCTGCCCCGCGGGCCGCGCCGAGGCGCGGGTGGCTCGGGGGACCCGGCCGGGGAGAGCCGCGGGGAGCGCGTCTGACCCTGGGCAGCGCTGCGGGGCTGGGACGGCGGCCCCGGTCTCCACGGGACGTTTCCCCCTCGCAGATGCTCGTGTGGACGCCGGAGTGCGGGCATACGGGACTCCCCACGCAGGGCCGCACTCCCAGCACCCGCTGCCGACGCCCAGGCACCGGCAGGGAGAGTCCGTAACCCGCCCCCGCCCCGGAGCCTCCCGCCCGGGCGTCTGTATGAGCCCGGCCATTACCAGTGCGGGAGCCAGCGCGGCTGGAGCGGTGTCAGCGAAACCGAGGCGTATCCTGCACTTTCTTCCGCAGTTTCCACCCGGAGGACGGGGATGTGACATGGGCAGGAGCCAGAGGTCACGGACCTGCGGGGCTGAGCGACTCGGCCGACAGCAACCCTGGGCGCCCGCCCGTCGAGCTGGGGTTTGTGCCTGGGGAAAAGCACAGACGGACTTGAACGGGCACGCTCCGTTAACTCGTTTAAATGGCCACAAGCACACTGCTCTTCCTGAGGAATTACACCTTAAACAGACTTGTCTGTTTAATAAACCAGCCCTGGTCCCCTGCAGCGGTGACCTCTGATCCCAATAGCAATGCAAAGATTTCTTGTAGCGCCGTGCCCGCGCTGCTGCGGCCGAGCCGTGACAATGGCCAATGGTCCAGGTGCGACAAACTATTTCAGCAAGAGAGAGGCGGAAAAGTCTCTCCCTCATCTGTGGGGCATTTGGTGATTATCATGGCAGTGGCCATGCCTGGCGGGCGGAGGGCTCCTCACTGAAGCCGGCATTTGTCAGAGGGTGATGGGAGCAGGTAGCAAAAAGCTCCTTCCCAGCCCACGCGCGGCAGAGACGGGTGGTTCACAGCCCCGTGCTCACCTGAGAACACATTTGCTATCTCACCTCCTCCTCCCCCGCAGCCCTGAGCAAGGCAGGTGTAGAGAGCTCCCGGCGCCACGGGCGGGGGCTCCCTCCCCACGCAGTCCCTGGCAGGAGGGCGGCAGGAGGGCGGCCGGCCCGCACAGCCCGGCCCCGCACAGCCCGGCCCGCACGGCCCGGCCCGGCCCGCACAGCCCGGCCCGGCCCCGCACAGCCCGGCCCGGCCCGCACAGCCCGGCTCGGTCCGCACGGCCCGGCCCGGCCCGGCCCGGCCGAGGCTCCCCCGCCGCCCCCTCACCTGCGGCGCCCCGCGCCGGCCCCGCTGCCAGGAGCTCCCGCTGCGGCAGGAGGAGAGGCATCCGAGGAGACAAGGGGAACAAAAGGACGAAATCAGAAAAAGGAATAAAAGAAGGAAATGTAGCGAGCACTAAAAACAAGAGGAGGAATTTTCCCCGTGGGGAAGAGAGAGGGAAGCGCCACTTACATGAGGTTTTCTTTCCCCCTACAATTTCTGCAGAAATTCTGACAATGCACGTGCCCGTTTTCCCTTTCCCAGCCCACACAAACCTGTTGTTGTTTTACTTTCATTATTTTACTTTATTGTATTAAAAATGCTGAATCATAAAACAGGGGTTAGTGAAAATGGTATTTATCTTCCAGAAATAAGCCCCACATTATTTTAAAGATCCCCACACTACTGCTGTTATTATTATTATTATCATCATCATGCATCTTGGCAGGTTGAAAGGTATCTCAGAACAGTAAGAATTCAGCAGTAATTTAACATCCCACAGCAGTACTTTAAAAGCTTCAAATAGCATTTTGAATTTTAAGTCAGTACAAGTGTAAATAAATGGATGCACTCCCACATGTCTGTTGTTTTTAAACTTGTGGTGATACTAAAATATTTGCCTAACAGCTTTGAGTTGTAGCAGAATTTCAGCTCATATATACACATGCATGTGATATTAAATTAAACCATTTGTCATTCTTTTTCCATAAAAGACACAATTTGGCTCCCAGCAAACCATTTGAAATAGAAAAAATGATGATAATGATACTACAGCTCCATTTTATTTTATGATACTATATTGATTTTCAAATAGACAATACATGTATTTTTGTAATGGTCTAAAAGAAGATATTCTTTTTATTTTACAGTCCTTATGCTATTACTTTCATTTCAATAAAGGATGGCATCTTTCAGAGATGCTACCATAAATTGCTTCATTTAATAAGTTGCTACGCAGAATAATAATGTTACACCAGAGAGCAGCACTTCATAATTTGGAAAAAATAACATTTTTCTTTTAAAAATATTCCTGTCTCTTTATTTTTAAATTAAAATTATCTTCCCGCTGTTTTCTTTCAGAAGGATAATCTGATTATTTTAAAATTCCTCTTTTTTTTTTCTTGCAAGCATTGGAACTTGGGTGTGACATAAAGGGGCTAATTAAAATGGGGAACAAATTAGATTAATTTCCACTGATATAATAGTGATATAAAAGTCTTGTTCTCAACAAGGCTCCATAATAGAACTATTTCATTTATGCCTAAGCAGGTTCCATATTCTGTGTAGTGAGGATTGCCAGCAGTGTCTTAGTGACAAGGTTTTTATTATTTTTTTGACAGTTTGATAGGAAGTCAGTGCTTGCTTCAGGGTTTGCAGTCTCTTCAAACCTGGATTATGAAGGCTACCATAAAAATATGGATAAAATACTACTACCTCCCTGAAGTGCCATACGTTATGGCCTGCACCCCAATGTGGATATTGCTTTTGTAATACTTGCAGACAACATGCTCCATATGCCATTAGAGCTGCAATTCAAATACTCAGTCACTAAGGAGTGACTGCAGAAGGAGTCTCCCAAGCTGTGGAAGACAAGGTCAGTCAAAACACAGAGCAGGCTTCAAATTTGTCACGAGTTTTATGCCTATGTCTATGGGTTTATCTGGGGTTTTCTTCCCCCTACAGACACCGATTTCAATAGAATTAGATATTTTAATACCTGTTTTTTTGCACGGAATAAATCTGAAATTTACAGTGAGGGATCTCTAGTATACGTGAGACATAAATACATGCATTATTTTGCACCACAAAAAAAAAAAGATCTTGCTGGAATGTTACAATATATTAATAGCATTGTGCCATTTAGGATCCTTTGTCAGGTTGCAATATGTCCTTATTTCCAAACTATAAGGCAGAATTTGCTTTTCTTCCTAACAGCATGGATGTGCACAGGTTTTCCTCTTCTTCTCCATTTCACAGGGTAAATCCTCCATATCCTTCACACTATGACATGAAGGCACAGAAATGCTTTCATCGCATAAACTTAAGATACACAAAGTTTATAATTTCCTTTACATTTATGCGGTTTTTATAATTTCCTTTACATGTATGTAATTGTAGGTACAAAAGACAGTTGCCTCATGCAACATGGTATCTCTTGAGGATGAAGTCAGAGCTAGACAATATAAAGAAAAAAATCTTTCAGAGGAAAGGAAAATCAGATATTGTACTCAAATACCAGCAGAATGATACTCACACAAACTGATTTGTTTTCCAGAATATGAAAGACTGGATCTGCTCATAGATAAGGTAAGGAATTCTCTCCAAGAACTTAACTTAGGTCTGAAGATGTAAGATTTGTTTTACTAATCTTAGGGGATGCATGGCTTTAAATAGCATCAGTGTAAATGCCAGTAACAGTGTAAGTGATACTTGGGGAAATTATTTCTCATTTCATTTATTTTTAAACTGGGCTTTCATAAGCTGCCTACTCCAAACACGTAACTCATCTCCATATATCAAATTGTTTTAATTTGTGTAGAAAAAAATATCATTAAACAGCTCAGGATACTGAAATCCTCTCTCTGCATACTAGGAAGCAAAATGCAAAACCTCCTATTATGGTCTGATTCCCATTTCAGTGCAGACATGGAAGTAAGGTTGGTACATTCTTCTCTTCTGCCATTGCAGAAATTTGTCTCTTCTGTTATAACTGCAAAGAGATCTGGTTGCTAGTTATGGTATATGTTCACTGGTGTTTTAGGCTATCTATAGGAGAGAAAGGAGGCAGCTGTTGGATGCCTCAAGAGACCTTCTGATGCAAAAAATTAACACTGTTTTGTATAGATCCCTGCTGGAAAAGGCACATGGTTCAGATTGTGTTAAATGATCAACATCTTCAAAGCCATCAGGATGCAGCATTTGACTGTCATTAGGAGATGGCTGTTAACTGCAGGTGAAGGTGCAGCATCAGCAGCACCCAAGTCCTGGCCTCACTGTGCATCTGGTGAGTGCAGTGAAGTGAGGTGAAAAGGACGTAGGTAACTCATCACACATCTTCAGCAATTTTTGGTAATAATATGTCTCTCAGCACCAACAAAGTGCCGAAGAGCAACATGTAATGTTCTTCATCATAGAAGGCCAAATTTTCATAATATCTAGCAATCTCAAACAGCAATGTACCTGCTGCACTAACATGTAATATATGTTCAATCACATAACTGGGCAACCAATAGCTTCTTAGGCATTGCTAGCAAATTACACAGACAATTGTGCTAAGTCCATGCAGAGCTGTAGTTAATGCATAGCACTCCAAAAGTAGGTACTGAAAGTCTAATTCATAGAGCTAGTTTTTTTAGAGACGTCCTTTTTTGCCACCTAAAATTACCTTCTTTTTGATCTTTAATTCCGAGTAACAAAACATGGGCACTCAAATAGCCATTAGTGCAAGCAAGCCAGCAGAATGGTAGCTTGATTGCATGTTCAATTTTCTGTGGGATATCAGAAAGCAAGTTAGTAATTTGGCCCTTTATCATTTTCTCTCTGTACATATGCGTAGGTGGGTGCTTCCACGTGTATGTATATGAATTACTATATCATATAATTACTTAATGCAATTAGAGTGAACACCCAGAACCTACACTCTTGTTTTTCTGACTGTTTCCCCTTTTTAAAAAATAAATTACTCACCCCAGTGGCAAGAGCCAAAATATTCTTTACACTTGACAATTTAGCTACCTTATGTGTTTTTCCTGGGGAAAAAAAAAAAGCCCTCTATCATTTATCATGTCATCTTATCACAGTCTCTTTGTGGGACGCAAATAGCACACTAATGTTTTCTTTTGTTAGAGTGAGTTGGCAATCTCCTCAGAGATGGAGCAACTACAGACAGCTCTTTTTTTTTATAATCTTCCTGACACTTGGATGAGACTGGCTTATCCATCAACATACAGTTGCTCTGTGGTAAGTCAAATGCCAACAGTCATTCAGCATGAATGGCACTTCATGTCCATTATAAAAAAATATAATTGAAATGCAAGAATTTTTTGGGCAAATATCTTACCTTCTTGTGTAACTCAGAATAGGTTTTTATCATAAACTGATATTACCAGTGTTATGAAAAGCAGAAAGAGCCTTGCATTTACCTTGCCAATTACTGCAGACTTTGAAAGATTTCTCTAAAATTTGCATTCCCCACTTCCTTGCTTGATTGCTTTTTCTCAGGTTGTGTGCACTGATCAAATATATTTGACAAATGCTTTAGCACTCAGTATCTGCTATGCAGAAGACGAAGCTTAGTTTCTAGTGGTTTTTGGGATCAGAATTTTTAACAATAAAAGGGCGCTGTTCTGAGCTCAAGGGTGAAATGATCACCAGATGAAGGAGCAATTAACAAGGTAGCGTCTGTTAAGAACAGAGAAAAGTTTCAGAGCAAGTAGTGGGACCGTGATGTTTCTGTTCATCTTAATTTAACACCTTAGGAAGTGTCCATCTATCTACTCTCTATGAGTGTTTTATAATACCAAAAATGAAACTGAAAACAAAAAGTGAAAGCCATCCAAGGCTGGCAGATATTTACTTCCTTACATATATTCAATTCTCCACAGGTAGCCTCCTGAGTGAGGCGAAGAGCCACCGGCTGATGGAGCTAACCAGGACTCCAGAGCTGACCAAAGGACAGGAAAGCTCTGCCAAGCTCAAAGACGGGTAGCGCTAGAAGGCAAAGCAAGCCCACACTTCTGAGATCAGTTCAGACTTCTGAGAGATCAAAAGTGGAAGAAGAAATCTTGTTCAGCAGAGGAGACATTGAGAAAAGCACCAGAGGTACATTGTGGTGGAGATCAATCAGAGCTTTACGGAATTAAATGCTCTTTTAGCTTTGCTTGATGGAAAAGTAAACCACCATAGAGATACTGTGATGTCTGTGATAAATATATGTCCTGAAGACAGAAAGCGTTGCCTAGGGGATATAACACAGTAATGCTAAATTACAAGCTGTTTTCCTGAAGGACAACACAGCTGCTTTCTTTAAAAAAATATATGGGGGATTCAAGCTGGACCTTATATTCATGTTTGGACAAAAGAGGGTAAAAGTACCCACTGATTATATAAAAGCTATCTTGCAGAACTAGTAGGATTTAAGGTGACAGATTATCTTTTACCATCAGGTGCAAAATGCAGTGAGTCACCAGGGAGCAAAATCATTTCTGTGAAGCAGTGTTATGCAGCTGGGCTCCAAGACAGCCTCCCTGCTGGAACACAGCGTGTGCGGGGAGGGACTGCAGAGCAGGTGAAAGACATACCAGAGAGGTTACACACAGACAGGACTGGTGGAGTGGTCAGCTGAGCCTGGCTGTCAGTCCCTTGGGTTTGGGGAGGTGAAAGAAAAACCAACAGAGACTGAAAGCAAACCTTGAATCACTGTCATGTCTAAAACCCCATAGTAATTGTCAGTAGCAGGAGCTGTAAGCTTCTTCCAGAGGAGGACATCCTCCCTGTCGTGCATGCTGCAAAGCATGCAGAGGCCTTAGTCGTCATGATGGTTTTATCCTCCTGTTTCAAACCCCTCTGTCTCTTATATATACCTGACATGCCACCATCTGAGATATTTGAAAAAACTCTTTTGATTTCTAAGCAGCTGACATTTTAAAGTAAGGTGGGACAGAGTGAGGAGGTAAAGGGAAAAATCAGAATACGTGCACAGTTTAAGCATGTTTGGCTCAGCAAACATGTCAGAAACAGCAGACACAAGTGATAAAATGACAGATCGTCAGATCACCTAGCAATCTCAGATCTTCAGTGTATCTTCAGGATCATTTTCTGTGTCTTTGAAATGAACACGAATTCTGTTAATGCTTCCCTTTATAAGCTGGCCCTGTATGTCACCTATTTCATATTTCTGTGGAGGTGTCACCTCTTGCCTCTAAGCCAGCAGTCTCCCATCTCTGGCTTAGATACACTCAACTATCCCCAGGGCAGATGTGTCTAGTATTTCTTAACAGCAGCATTTTAGGAAACAAGAAGCAATACCACAGACTGCTGAAAAACCCCTCAGCTAGAAAGGGGGTGATGCCAGAGATCTTAAATGGGGTAAAAAGAAAAGAAACAAGCTTCTGCTTTCTTTTTCAGGCCGCAGGAATTCAACAGATAGGGAAACAGAGTGTGGAGGAAAGATTGGAAACTAGTGTCACAGGTCACCCAGCTTTCTGGAAATCTGCAAAAGACCAACAGTGGGACACTTTATAAGAGGCAAAAATTGTTTAACACAGGCAACAGCTGGAGCAGGCTGAGGTAAGAGCAGCAGTGAATGAGGATTTGAAAAGAGACATCACATGTAGAGGGGATGACGTGAAGGGGCATATGAGGAGCAGAGGATGGTGGGGAGGGAGGGCAGGAAGGCACAAAATACAGGAGCTGCCAGAAGAGGGGATGTTCATTCCTTCTTTGGAAGATATTCTTGATACACAGATACAGGCTTAGAAACTATTCCATGAAAAATCAGGGTTATGGCACTGACTCCCTCACAGGCTAGAAAAATACAGGCTTGAAAGGAAAAGGCCTTCAGGGTAGGAGGGTTTGTTATTTAGGGTTTTAAACTGACAGAATCTGCTGCTGACTTGTAAGGTGGGGAGGTATTAACTCCTGAGAAGGAGGAACAAAAGGTAAGGATTGCAATCCTGTGAGAAAAGACAAGAAGCATTGCAAGTAGAGGTGGGCTGGTCCAGAGGGGGGGGTTAAGGATATTCATCGAGTGCTTTGAGATGAAACATGCTGTGTGTTCGCAAAGGTGTCTGTCAGTCAAGTGGGGGAGCAACATTATGACAACCTCTCTTCCAGGAGCAGCAAAGACCAAGATTTTATTCCCTGCAAAGCCAGCCAAGAAATTACTGAAATGGCTGTTTTAACAGTCAAAGCTAGCAGGGAGAGAACAAAAGAACTCCAGATGCATGTACACACATATCCATCTATCTATCCATGTTCTCCTTTGGCCTCCCTTGAGCCAACTTCCACTTAAAGGAAGTCTCTTACATTGGTGAGAAAATAGGCAGCAAATTATTTTGCTGCTGTAAAACAAAACTATCTTCATTTCAGGGAGGGGTGTAAAATGGGTGTAGTTTGCATGAAAATTTCTGAGTCTAAAGCACATGGAATGGCAGAAAAGAGGTTAGATTTCTTTTGAAGGAGCCACTCTTGTTCCACGAATACCAGCTTGCTGTCTTACTGGCTTACCTCTCAAAGAATGGCTGTTGCCGTGGCTCCATGAGACAGACAGTCTCAGGTCCCAGAGGGGCTGTTCTGAAAGCCCACAAACACACAATATTGCTGCACTTGCTGTTTTTCCCTTGTCAGTATTTAATTAACAAATACAAACGCAGAACTGTGCTGAAATTAAAAAAAAAAATAGTTCAGTTTGGAAAAAACTTTTAATATGAGGAAGTTGCTTGTTAAACAGAGAGAAATTTGTTGTTCAGCTGCACTCAAAACACAAGAAAAGGGAAAAAAACATTAATGTGTGCCAGGGCAAAAGAACCACTGTCTTGGCAAGAAACGGAAACATTTGCAAGCTTCTGAGTTAGTATTTGAACAATGGGGAAGAAAATGAACTAGAAAAACTGACTGATGGGCTGCTGAGAAGAATCTTCCTCCCCATGCTGCACATACTGATTTTAGTGTTTTCTTATATCCAGATAAGATAGACTGATGGTACAACAAATAATACAAATAATATACAAAAACTGTGGTATCAAGAACAGAATTTATAGTGGCGTGCACTTTTTGAATTCAATGGCAATCAAATGAGCAACAAAAGTATAATCAAAGTACCACTGTTCCTTTCAGAAGATCCTGAAAACTCTGTAAGCTTTCTCACACAGTTGCTATCCCAGTATAGGCTGATACAAAATAAAAGCCAAAACACCAAAACCAAACCAAGCCCTGAATTCTTGGTTGAAGATCAAGGTGAGAAGAAACCTTAAGTCTGGCTGTCAAACATCTGAAGAAACAGGTTTTCTAGTGTTTGCTTTGGTCATTTTCCTATGGTGGATAACTTCAATAAATTACCCTTAATCCTTCATCAGAAGTTTGCCCTTCTTCAGTTTTATCCCAAGTTCCTAGTCAGCAACTTCTCAAACTGACCTTCACATTTTGGAGTTATCTTTATGTACTGCAGGTGAAGGCAAGAATTCCCTGTTGCCAAGCTATTCATTAGTATTTCCTTTTAATCCTTTTCCTATACAAAACACATTTCTAAATATTGCCTGCATCAAAGTAAATACTTTTAAATATACATTCTTAACTTGGGGCTGGTGAGAGGTAGGGCTGCAACTGTTTGCAGTCCAGGAGCTTTACTGGCTCCTTCTTAGCATGAAGGTGACAGGTCAGAGCGTTTGTGCACACAAAGTGCATCCAGGTCTTTCCCAGCACCTGTGATTCCTGACCTTCTACAACCAGTTTGCTTCTAAACACTTTGAAAGCAACAGCACCCTATTCAAACCCTCAGTGTTCCTGCGTTTGCTAAGCAGTACATTCTATTAGTGAACGCTGTCACTGCAGGTTAAAATTTTCAGACGCAGGTGATACAATGCACTGAGAAGTATTGGCTAGGGGAAGAAAGCCTGTCATACATAGCAGGACTACTGATAATGTGCAGTGCATTACACTACAGCAAAAATGACTAACATCAAAGCTAAACAGGAATGATTTGTATGGTTGAGACAAGTAGAATAAAATATGTATTTTAAATAAATCAGTTTTTAGGAACACCAGGCACAGGTTAATCCTTTATAAATATGTTCACAGAGTACATTAGACACCAGCCCGCCTACACAAAATGAATGCAGCACACACTCTGATGTATTACAGAGGCAGGATAAATGAGGGAACTCTTCTGTGTTTGATCTGGTTCTGCTCTGTAATTCAGAGATACTGGAGATGGGTGGTGAGTTTCTCATTGATCCCAAAAGAACCAATAATGTTGAATCCTGTGAAATGTAAGCTTTGTAGAGGATTGGAGGCTATGTACGAAGGACATTGTAGCTTTAGGGGCATATTCTCTTCTCTAGAATGTGTGTAACTGGCATTTAGAGTCATACATATCCCAGGGAAACTAGACCCTGTAGCTTAGCAATACTTAAAATGCATACCTAGCTCCACAGGCAATTATATCACTCTCATGGCTACATCTGCATCCAGTTATCAAAAGATAGATTTCCAGTGGATAATAAATGAACCTGCAAATGAATATCTTCAGAATTTTGAAACAATGCTAAATTTGCCACACATCAGCATTTAAAAATGCAGCAGAACAAAGTCAGAACATCAATCCAAGTCTAAGATGTTTAGATAGAAAACACAGAGCTAGCACATAGATACGGAAATAATCAATTCCATTTCCCCACACACCCCCATTCTTTCCAGCTTTTTAAAACCACTTACTCCAGTCCTTGCTTCTGTGAACTGTATTTTGCATGTGGTGGAGGTGTTAATCTACAGTTACTGCACAACAGGGTTGTGAATTTTAGCTAATGAAAGCTTTTAAAGGCACAATGAAATGTTCAGATGAAAGGCAACAAAGAAGTGTAAAATATTATTGCAGCCTAGCCTAAGTTTTACTGAGGGCATTCTTATGCAGGATGGACACAGCATAAATATGTATTACAGATGATAAACTCCCTATAAAGACTAACTCCCACCCCTGAAGCTGCCAGAGGCAAGGGATGGCAGTCTTCTAAGACTTAATAAAGTCTCACAATGTTTTCATCCTGTTCCTACCCCCAGGAGCTGGAAGAGAACCCCTGTATTCATCTGAATCCTTAACAAACAGCATGTCCATCCCAGCGTATTGCTGGCACAATTAGATCACAGGGAGTGCAGACTGGGATGGTTCAGTGAACAATTTAAGGCAGAGGCAAATACAGGAAGGACAGCAAATGCTGTAGTCCTTGTTACAGCAGTTTGGCATACAGTAAATTTATAGTGTGTATCTGTATGCTATCTATGGGAGAGTTAAGCAAAGGGGCAGAAATCTGCTTGTCATTTTCCGTGATAATTTTTGCTAAAATCCAAGTAATTGTGCATGATAACAAAAAGGGACAATTAACACAGTCTGTATTTTGCAAAGGTGAGAAAGGGATAGCTGTCAAGAGGATGTGGATGAAATCACCAGCAACTCGTTTGGAAAAGAACTAGCACCAAAATAAATGTACAACAGCTTACCAGGCAGAGAGGACAGGATCTGATGTTCTGAAAGATGGTTTGATCTGTTACGATGGGAATGAAGTCTTCAGTTTGAAAAATATTATGCTTCCTAGGTCTGCAAAAGCTAACATTGTTCTAAAGACTGCACCTCTCTGATCAGCTGCTGTTTCACTGATCATAGTCTCAGTGATCCGTAGCCCCCTTCTTTTTCTGCCTCTGTTCAGATAAAAGACTGCAGCTTAATTTCAGTTATTATTTGCATGTTTTTCTTAACAGTTTACTCTCAGCAGCTTCGGATTTAGCCTTATACGTCCTGTTGTTTGGGAAAAGGCTAGAAAGATAATTTTTAGATCAGTACCTAACATTTTCAAAGTAATAGCAGGCACCTCATGCATGCATCTCATGTTCCACCCTTTTGGTAAATGTATTCTAACACGCTACTTACCTGCTTTAAAAGGACTGGCATGTTGAACCAGCTGGCCTTTTTCCAGCGCTATAGCTTTTCATGTTGTATTCTGCTCCTCCAATTTCTGTATTTTCCCTGCATTTAGCAAGACAAAATGCAGAAGTTTAAAGGCACGTAATGTTTATGTGACAAAATCTTGCTGCTAAGTACAGTATTACTGACAGATTAGTTTAATGCAATAGCATAATGTAATTTAATTATAGTAATAGTGCACAGCTACAATCTTACTACTTATGTCAGATTGTGAGACATTCTCTTTTAAAAGCTTCATCATTATTATTTAGTTTTTGATTTAGTTCCACAGTGTCCCCCCTTCCTCCACATAAAGTAAATTAATTTCATAGGTGTAGAACAAGAAATATTAGGTAAATTGCTCTCATTTTGCCCTAAGAATTCACAATACTAACTGAAAACCTATTTTGCATCATTAGAAAATAGTCAGACACCCTATAATGAAAGCTTGTAGCCTTCTGTGCAGTATGTCCTCAGACCTGCATTCTGCAGTTAAAAAAAATGAAACATCAAAAAACAACACAGGGAAAAAAAAAAAAAAAGACCAAACAGGAGCATTCCACCACATCTACCTTTTGTATTTACCCAAGAGCTTTTACTGGAGATTGATCCAAAATCCTGTGTTAGCCATTAACTATTTCTACATTCATGTAAACTATTGTAGTTCAGGATTTTTCAGCCCACAGCTTCCACTGATTTCAGCTGTGGCTGACAGCAATTCTCAAAATCCAACCCACAATAATTCCTATTTCTAAAGTGTTTTCTATCTGATGACCACAGAATTTTCTATCAGTGTTAATTTAGCCTCCAGAAAGGCAGAAAAAATATATCTTCAGCCAGCACAGCTGTATGCAAAGTGAACATCTGTCCATTGCCAAATTCAGTTTAGCCAATAATAAAAAAAACCCACTTTATTTTCTTTTCCAGACTGGATCAGACTGCAAGGGAAAGCCTGGAGAGGATTTCTATGCTTTAAAAAGAGAAACAGGGGAAGACTGGATTTGCTAAGGTCACCGAGGAAATGCGTGGCAACACTAGGAAAATAACTCAGCACTGGAGCAGCAGAGATACCATCTTCACAGCCAAAAACAGATGTTTTTTCTCTGCAGTGTGACATAACAGCATAAACAGAGTTAGTCTGTGGATTTAGTGACAATGAAGTTAAATAAGGTTAATTTCTGAGTGGCTGAGAGATGTTGTCTTTTTCTAATTGCATCATGGCAAAAGCTCTTCTTGCCTTATGTCAATAACAAGAAGCCAGGTAATGTGAATCAGCCAAACCACTGCAAATCACTGCTTTTTAGAGAGGGGAAAAAGATGTACCCTTGTCTTGAAAGTATACAAAAATAATCCTGCTGTATGCTGACAGGTTGCTGTTCATTTCCAAGCTTGCCCAAGGCTTTGTATGTATTTTCAGTGTATACAATCTTTTAGGTGTGAGGCTAAAGCTACAAAGGGTCTTGGGCTTAGTACTGTAATGCTTGACTCTTAGGGGCTCTTTCAGCTTAAGAAACCCCCCACACCAAAAAAAAAAAAAAAAAAAAAAAAGCCAGCATCTCTGCATCTCTATGTCCAAGGAACCTGCATTTCTGCTTCTTTCAAGGGTTTTGGAAGATGACTACAGGGTGAGTGGACACACTTCTCTCCCATTTTGACTTCACAATGTGTAAGGGTGTGTGGAAGTATCCATGCCTAGTGGCTCCTTTTAGTACAACACACCAACATAAGGAGTAAATAAGTCATGCTAGATTTCCCCAGTCCTTTTAAAGCCTCAATAATGTCTTTAAGAGCAGTTCTGTGCCATGAGAGAGAAAAATGCATGGCCGTTTTCCATTTGATTTTGGGTAGATGTTTCAACCAGAATAAATCTTTTGAAGCAAAAGATTTTTAAAAAATCTTTTATAAAAGATTTTTGCTAAAAAATTTGCTAAAAGCTAGCCAATTTAATTGGGCTTTACGATACCAAAGACGACCTGTCACATTTACAGCACCTTTAAAAGCTACAGCTAGAAATATAATTATATGCCAGTTCATTTTTGCATTCATTTTGGCATGCAGCAGAACCCCTTTCTCTAGCCAGTCTCTGCTATTGCAGCAACACCCCGTGCTTAGCAGCAACCTGGACTTTGATAGAAGTGGCACCATTTTTACACCTTTATGCCCTGGTGTTATTTATACTGTGTACCATTTGCTACCAAAAGCCTCTGCATTTCTTAAAGCTTTGTCTCAGAAGAAAGAAATCCGGGTCAAACTCCCCTGCCTGAAAGCAAGCTGGTGGGGGATTTAAACCTTTGTCTTAGCTCCACATCTTAGGTGACTCTTCTGAAGATTTAAGGACACTATGAAAACATTGTCCTCGTTGCTGTGTTTTGCATGGAACTTTATAACAACTGAAAAGCAAGAAGCTGTTCCCAGCCAGTAAATTAGGTCACTTCAGCTGCGTTTGTAGCAAGATGTAGGAAAGTCAGTTCCTCCCATTGATAACATTGTTCCCTTGCCTATAGGTGTTGGTTTGGAAACAAACATAGAGCTACAATTTAAAGTGAAACTCATTATTCGTCTCTCAGCTATTTTTTCCCCTCTTATTTTGTTTCTAGTTTAACCATTCCAGTGCAGTGAACAACTTCTGCGCTGCTGTGAGCTTGACTCCTAGCCTCAAGATCTCACCCTCCCCAGTGTTGTCTGGATATCAATTCTTTCAACCCCCAGTCCTTCCTCACAGGTAGGAAGCACATCACAACTCATTAGTAATTTACTGCTACAGTAATTTTTATAATTACTGCCAGGAGGCCTCATTAAATTTGATCTAATGAATAAATATTGTATTTTTCAACGTGATTACCAGAACAGCTTAAGCTGTGTGCCATAAACAATTATTTTCCTCAATATGCAGTATGTCAGTGAGTATTGATTTTTATTTTGTAAAGAATTTACTGTATTTCTATCCATGGCTATTAAGTAATAAATAGCCAATCCTCTGAAGCCTCAATTGCCATAGAGCAGATGGCAAAACAGAATTTGGGGTATCTTTTGAAAAAAGTAAAAGAATGCACGTTAGTGAAGATAAAGGGTTTGTCTGGAGTTTAAGAAGGAGTGCCCCAATGTGAATGTCTCTCTTAGCCCTCAAGAAAGCAGCCTGCTCTAGTCTGGAGTCTCTGATGTATAAGGCTGTGATATAAAAAAAAAAAAAATAAATTAGGATTTATTATTAGGATACAACAAAGCACTTTATCTCAGAGAACTAGCACATGAACAAACATTGATGCTTTATGTTTCATTTGCTTTTAGAGCAACTGCTCAGATGGAACATTCTTCTAACAGGTTCAAGAAAAATGAAGAAATATACAGTATGCTGAACATGAACCTATAGTTCAAACCGAGGCCGTAAATTATATTTACTTTCCAGCATAATTTATTCCTTTTTCTCAGCAATTGCAGACTTTAGCACATGAAACTGTAACCAAGCAATGAACTGCAACAAAAGGCATGCATCAGAGGAGCTCAGGACCAGGAGGAAACCCTCTGCATTTTTGTCGTGTAAGAATGTCTTCTGCACCTCCAGCTATACTGTACCATATTAGATAAATCTAATTCCCTAGCTAAAGCACTACTTAAATAATTTTAAAGCAAATTTATCTACCTCAATAAATAGCACTGCTGGTCTGTGCTATGAGATTTTCTTTTAAAACAAGACGTTCATTTAGGGCAAAAGGGTTGTGAGTAAACCTAGGGTCACTAAGGGCAATTCATATACCTGAAAGGATTTTCTCCTATTTAATGGGCATTTTTGAATTGCATTTTCTCCCTTGACTATTTAGTTTAAGAAAACCTGGAAAGTCTGGATATTGTTAGCTCAGTCTCCCACACTCGGTCTCCACACTGGGACATGGCCTCCAGTAGATTTCCCTGGGCTGAGCAAAGTGCAGTTACCAAGCTGGAACCATGCGTCTCCAGAACAGTCTCTCTGGCTCTCACCAGCACGCAGACATTACCTCCAAGTAAACCACAGGCAATTCATTCTACACAGGGCCTCAGGACTTAGATCCACCTTAGCTGCTGCTTTGTTTAACAATATTTCTACTTCAGGACACTTAGCATTTGCTCTCACAAGGCTCCTTACACCCAGGTTCCTCTTGTGACAGATGTAAAGGAACCTCATTCTCACCAACAATGGTTGTGGGTCCCAATATGTAAAAAGTATAATGTGGTATCTGTCCAGTGAAAAATAGAAGCTACCTTTCAGCAGTCAGGCTTAATTAGCAAGTTAGTTAAGCCTGACATCAGCCAAACTGTTCATCTCATTCATCACTTTTCTTCAGAACTGGAAAGAAAAATAGAAATCAAAAGCTAGACATAAGGTTTTAGAAACTGGAAAAACAGATGGGAATAAACCAATGGTACGTAAGAGACTACAATATACTCTCAACTCCTGTGCACAGATATAATGTAAAATATACTTACTAGTGAGTATGTGTCATGGTTTGACACTGGCACAATGCCAGTGCCCCCATGAAAATGCAATCTCTCAATTGAATGCAGTGAAATGCAATCGAGAACAGAGCAAAGCAGGCCCAAGCTTAATAACAAGAAAAAAACTTTATTAAGCTACTACTACTATACTACTATAAAAGGAAAAAGGAAGAAAAAAAAAAAACACACACAAAATTCAAAACAAAAACCTTCCAAAGCATTCCTCCTCCCACCACCCAACTCCAACAAACCACATCAAGACACAATCTGGACCCCAGTCAGGTTTCCACCCTCCAGACAATCGATACTCAGTCCATCGAGGGAGAGAGGAGTCCCTCCCGTGCCACAGACCCCCAAGAAACACAGCTGCCACATCCTGTGTTTCCATGTCACACAAGGCACTGCCCAGAGAAAAAGCTTGCCATGGTAACACTCTCTTTTCCATGCACAGTGCTCTCACCACCAATGCATGGATGGACAGACTGCTTTTAGGATTTTTCCTTTCAAGGATGCTCTGCCAAGAGGGGAAAAAACAACAGTTCAGTTTCTCATTTTTGAGACCACAGTCCCCCCCCATTTTCCCCTGGGGCCGAGGGTCCAAGAACAGAGATCTTCTTTTCTTCTTCTCTGAAGACAGGGGCACCACCACAAACCCCCTAACTTTTCTCTGTTCGCTCCACTTCTGTCTTTTCCCAGCTGAAGCAGGTCTCTTTGGCTCATCAGCATCCTCCTAAAATACAGTCTCTCTTGGAGGAGATCAGTTCAGTCTGTGGCTACCAAGAAAAAGTCCAGCCAAAAGCCACTCCATCTCCTCCCACCTAGAATTTCTCCTTCTAACATCCCAGGGTCCAAGCTGTCTCTCTTCCTCTCTTTCAAACCGGGGAGGAGAAAAATTTCACAAAGCTTTCATTTCTCAGGGAGGGTTTAAAGTTCTTGCTTCCCAGGATGGCTCGATGCCCAGGCTCCAGCTCCCACAG